CCTCAACAGAGCGCACTGAACCAACTCCTGGGCCAACTCCTTCCACTTGGAGAGATCTCCCCGAAAAAATGGCATTGGCTATGAACACAGGCACAGGGGCTATCCGAGATGCCCCGCTACGATAACGCCTTTCCCCAGATCAAGCCTCCTCCTTTTCCTCGATAACGGCTCGTCCACGTTAGAGGATTCATCCAAAAGATGTGAGGCCGGTACCGAAGAAACCTCTTCCCTTGCGTCCACGACTCGACACAGATCTCCCAATTGGATAGGTTGAGGACGACCCTCTAGAACAGACTCACTCAAGACAAACTATGGATCTGCAGTGGCAACGACTTGTCGAAAAGAGGGGACCGGTGCCCTCCGCCTGGAAGCACCTCGAACTATCATCACAGAAGGTCGTACCATTAAGTAAGGTCACATGGCTAACGAAATAGTAAGCAAGACATTTACCTGAGGAAACCTTAGGGCCATAACGCTGCACGAAGGCGGGCCAAGTTTGAGTTTCTTCTACATAAGGCAATAGGCGGACCACCCAATCTCTGATACCCACAATGGGGCGAGGTGGACGGCCCATAGTTGTAAAACGGCAAGCAAATAAGTTTTACAGTAAATAAAGAAGAAAGAAGAACATGACGAAGGACGGCACTTACGAGCCCCGTTCCACCGCTCCGGGAATCTGGCGGAGTCAAAACGACGTGCTCGGTCTTGATGAAGAAGTACTTGTGCCAAAACTTGCAGCTAAACTGGTCATCCGTCCCGACCACCAGCCCTTTCATACCACGAAGCCTCAAATGCACCATGGTACCCCTGAGGAAACCAGGTGTGAACAGGTGCAAAAAGTGGTGGACAAAAACGCTATAATACGCCAACTATGCATACTTAGTCAATAGCAGAAGCACCTTGAGCGTGTATGGTGAAAGTTGCGCTGGGCAAACTTGGTAAAATCTACAGAATTCTTCCGCTAAGGGGAAGAGAAGAAGGGTATAGCCGATCAAAAAAGGGTACTCATAGAAAGCACAGTACCCAGGTCTGTGGACATCCACATAGTCTCTCCCTACTAGAACCATTTCTATATGAGCAGGAATGCCAAACTTTAATACGAAGGGCATCGATGTGGACCTGCTCCATCTCAGAAAATACGGGGTTCGGGGTAGGAGGTAGATCTTTGAGGAAGTCACTCCGGGATAAGGGGTACCTCGGCAGTAGCTCCTCCACTGTAGGAGGGCTATTACTCTCTTCTACCACCACATCTCCGCTGTCAGAAAGAGGCATCGTGGATGACGGGGTGGCTTCAGGATTGGCTAAAGTTTTTCAAAAAATCAAATCCTTCACCTATTTATAGGATTGGGAGGCGCCAGAATCGAGGCGGTAGGCTTCAAAGCAGCGTAAGAATCGAAGCACCAAGCCGTCAGTCCTGCCTCAAAAACCTGCGTAATGATGACGCACGTAAAGTTGACATCACTTCCCGGAGAAGTATACCACACGATGTTTTGCCGAGCATGATGACCATCTCCCATTGGCCATGTCGTAACGCTCCTACAGGTCAAATTTCTCCAGAAGAAGGCATGAAGTCCGCTCATCGAGGACACATGCGGTCGCTACCCTGACAAGCGGAGGGACTAACTGTATGGGTCCAAATTTGACCGACCTCGACCTATGACGAGCCCGACAAACAACCAAGTACCTTCGAACCAGCGTCCCAAGGAAGACGACCTTAGGGCGAAAGAAGAAACGGCACGCCCCATGTAGTAGTGTAATCCCATTAGGGGCCATTAAGAATATTCCGCCGAATATTCCCTGTATTTGTTTGCTTACAGTTCCAAAGGGTTTTTCACTAGTATATAAGGGGGAAAAAAGACCTTGTAAGAGAGAGACTCTAGGAAACTTAGCTAACTTGAATGAAAAAAAACTTTGCAACTCTCTTCCTTTTACCTATTATTATTCTAGAGATTATTATCTTTAGCTACGATTTACCCCTTCATCTTTGATTGATTTGTTCAAAAAGGTCTTAACATCTTTTGAGTTAAACAATTTTATTTTCTAGTGAATCATACCAAAGTTTCCTAACTTTTTGAGCAGATGGAATGTGGGGATGCCCAGTTTGGTGAAATATTCCATTAAAATAATTTCAGATGCAGGTCTTGGGATGGCCATGTTCAGTTTAGGTACGTGAGATTACAAAAATTTACATGAATATATATCCCCACTCTTTTTGTGATTAAAACTTGGAACTTAATTACATATTTGAATAACTATTGGATAAAATGTTGTGATGAATAAATATTATTTTTAATATGGCAATGGTACATTGTAGGGTTGTTCATGGCACTTCAACCTCGAATAATTGCGTGTGGCACGAAGATGGCAGCCATAGGAATGGCCATCAAATTTATAGGTGGACCTCTAGTAATGTCAGCTGCTTCTGTTGTTGTTGGGCTTAGAGGAGTTCAACTTCACACTGCAATTGTACAGGTAACTAACTGTATTATAAAGGGAGATCTCCGAAGAGTATCCCAACATGAAATTTCTTTTTTTTTTTTTGGATCAATTTTTCTTCTTAATAACATGGTCCAGGACCTAGGACATACCGACTTCCCTTTAATACATGATGATATGGGTAGGATAAAATCTTATTTATATCTAGTACTACGTACATCAAACTAATGAATGCAAATTATTTATCTTTTATATAATATATGTTTATCACTTAACCATGATTAAATGATATATATGTATATTCACTCAAATTTTTAACTGCTAAAACTAAAATTACTTAATTTTGGATAAAAGCTTAGTGCGGGTAAGTGTAATTCCCTTCTCTAAGTTAGTTGAACCATGATAATTGCGTTATCAAAATTTAAACAATTATGACATAAGAGTTTGGACATATACACTTTATATGTAGTGGCACGCGCTAGGTGGTTGTTTCTATGATCACAATCATAGGGAGGAACGTTGATGACTTTCACTTGTTAATTGTTAACTTTGTTACTCTCTGGTCCACAATAAGTAACCGATTTGTTTTTTTATTTTGGTCCAAAATAAGTGTTTATTTATATAATTAAAAAAATATTTAATTTTTTTTCTAAAATTACCCTTATGTACGTATTCCTAAAAAGTCTTTTGCTCCTCACATTAAATTATGCTGCAACATTTAATTAAGGGTAGTTTAGTCACACTAACTATGTTTATCTAGAATTTAGCATTTCCTTAATGGGTGTGCTAGAAGCAAATTGGTCACTTATTATGGACCGGAGGAGTATAATATTTCAGATCAGAACAAGAACCCAAAGCAAATTGTAGGGAATTTTCACTCTTTATATTTGTAGTGCAGCTCCTTCAATTGCAACATTTTTCCCTGAAAAAATATATAATTTATTATGTCGCCTTTGTTCCTTAAAAATATGTATATGTTATATTATCTCTCCCTTATTTGCATAAGCAGGCTGAGAGTAGTTTAACTACTTTGTTAATACCATAGGTATAAATAAATTAAGGTAACCATTATTGCATATAAAATGCTAATATAAAGTCAATCTTCTGCCAAATTCAGGCAGCTCTTCCCCAAGGAATTGTTCCATTTGTCTTCGCAAGAGAATATGGATTGCATCCCGACATACTAAGTACTGGGTAAGTTGATCTCAATTTATAATTTACAAAAGTAATTAAAAGAAACAAAAAAAAATATTAACAATAAATTGATCTTAAATTTCATACTACTTAATGAAACACTTTTGACATATCATTCTTCGTTCATTTTCTCCTAACCTAGTTAATTGTCGTGTCTCGTTTTTTGTGGTAGATTTGAAATTATTTTCCCTGTAAATTTGAATTCATCCTTTGGAAACTATATTTGGGGAATTGGGGAATCAAAAAGTGATAAGTAATTTCTTTGGAAATAAAGGGATATATTTACTTCTTTTTTTTCCTTCTTTTTGCATTTCCAACAAGATCTTTTTGAAATGAGTTTATTCTCTTCTTTTGCAGGGTTATATTTGGGATGCTGGTTTCATTACCAGTAACCCTCCTTTATTATATACTTTTAGGGCTATGAAGAAAAATTTACAGATAATCTTTGCCCCCCATGCGGATAGTAATTTGGTCCAGATTGTGTATTACTTTGACCTAACCAGCACTTTGACAAGTAATAATTAATTAGAGTACTCATACATCAAGTACCTTTTCTTGGGTTTTGATTATGTAAAAGCTATTTGGAAGATTGACTTAGAAACCGACATTATTTATTTAGTCTCCATTACCCATTATTAGTGTCGATTTAGATAGTGATACCAAAATTATGTAAAAGATCTTTTTGGCTACGAAAATTACTCTTTTCTTTAGTGCAATATCTGTTAGTGGCAACCGAAAGGGAATAAAATATTATTATTACGACATATCATTGCAGTTGGGAACTGACTTTAATTTCTTGTCATAATTTATAGTGTTACAAAATAAGCAATATTTGACCTGAGAAAAAAGAGAAGAAAAGGAATCTTTTGATCTCGTTTATATTGTCTCTGTCTTTGAATGGCTTGATTATGCCGTGTGCAATGATTATGGAACGCTCGTTCAAATGTTTAATTTAAGAAATTTAAAACTGCGTATTTCTATTAGTTAGAACGGTAATTAAACAAGCAACTCATGGTTGCTTCTTGTCGTTAAAATTACTGAGTGTTTAAGGCAACTTAATTAGTCATTGTACTAATGTTATTACATTGTCTGCTTGTGCTATAAGTTTGGTCTTGGATTTCTAGAGCTGAAAGGACCAAGCATATTTTGTTAAAATGCCAAGATATCCTATATTTTGTAATCTGATCCTGGGGTATACTTATAATTGCAAATATACAATTTTATTGGTTGACCAAATACTTTATTATAACTCCAACAAAACCTTTCCGGGTGCCTCGATAAATTCGCCCCTTTTAATTTGCCACCACCAATTTCATCCTTTCCCCTTTCTTAGTGAAGGAAAAAGATTTCATTTGTGGCTTTACGCTTTTCTAAACACTCACTTCTTTGTTGAAAATCCAGCTAAACTTCACTCGACGCGACTCTAATTTCTTGGCTCGCTCATCTGCTCGGTTTTGCAACCTCCTAATCTTAGGTGGAAGTCCGCACACAAAATCCCGTGCACGCCTTGCTTCTCCCTCTAAGCCTTCAAGCTTTTCTAATTTCCATCGCGCTATAAAAAACTCTATGATTTCAGCATAATCGCGACTTGTATAAATCCCCAGCCTTTGGGACATGGCAGAGAAGTGCTCAAATATATTCGGATCTCGGCCATCGTACATGAGGTGCATTGGCATCGTGATTTTCTTCTTCATCATGTTTGCAATAGCTAGCATAGTCACGTTCGGATCCACTTCAAGCAACTTCTCAATAATTTTAGTGTAAGCATTTTCGTGCCGCTTCTCGTCGCTGCAATGGTTCCACATATACGCGCTAGCACGGGGTCCCCGCCTTCTTTGGCTAACCTAGCCATCTTGCCATGCGACAAAAACGTGGCTCGTTCTTGAAAGGATGTGTACACAAACCCCAAATATGGATTGTTCTTTGTTCCATTATCCTAAGTTGCAAGAATTCAAAACGAACAACTTATATTAATAAAATATATTTAAAAAAATTAAAACAAAAAAAGTTGTATGCAATTGCTTCTTATATGATTATTGTCACACCCTTTTTTACCCCCAAAAGATAATGTGTGTTATGGATTGTGAGTTAAAGAGCTTTTTCAATTAAAGTGACAAATTTGAAATAGGGATTATTTTATTTACAGAGTCGTCACTTGGAATTGATTTTTGCCGGTGCTCCAAGTCACCTTTTATTTGAATCCCTATTCAAAGGAAGGTTTGACGCTATTATTATTGATATGCGAAAACAAAGTCGGGTAAGGAATTCTGTTGACTGGGGAGAAGGTGTAAGGCATTCCCCGAGTCCCGTCGAGGCTCCGTTCACTTTATTGACTACATTTGGCTTATATTATTTTGGATAACTTGTGTTTATTGGATCTCATCTTGTACCTATGTCTGCTTTTATTGCTTGATTAAAATTATGAAAAAAGTTATCTTGAAATAATTTACGCGTATTAATACTTATTTTGTTACGTATCACAATTATGCCACGGAGACCATACACATAGCCATGATATTTAATTATTTAAAGCGCACCTAAATAAACTAGCGCACTTGAATTATTTTCCTAAACTAATTTAAGATTATTGTAAGGCCAAGAGTTATGGAATTGTTTGTGGAAAAAGTGTATGATTTTAGATATTTGAATAAATAAACTATCATATACCAATACCCTACATCCCAACAAGTGAAGCCTAAACTTATTAGTGTCCAAATCTTTCAAACTTTTAGCAAGTTTAAATACTATATTTTCAGAAATATGATTAAGCATATAACATTTAAGGATTGATTTATATTATTATTTATAAAGCTTAAAGATAAATAAATAAAATCACATAAAATAAGATAAAAAACAGAGGGAAAAATAAACCTTTTAATGTAAGATTTCCAATTAAACGACTCTCCAAGAATATGTACAATAACTCAGATGAATACCGAACAAGCATAAGCGAAGATGATCATCAAAGCCGGTGAACAGAGCTCCAACGGAATCCTCGACCTCGACTGTTAACACCACTCTTTGGCGTGTAAAAAAGGATGTTTTGAAGTATTTTTGTTGGGTTTTGGGTTGTTGAATTGATGGAAATTTTCGAAAGAAAGAGGAAGAAAGAATGACACGAGTAGAAATTGTCGTAGCGTAGGAGAAGAAACAATTTGTTTCTCTCAATTCTCTCCTCTCTTTTCTCTCCTTTCTTCTTCTTTTTTCTCAAATTTTCTCTTCTATTTATAGCAAAAAATTTCGAAATTTTTCAGATTTTTTTTTAAAAATATTTTATTATTTTTTAATTAAAAAAAATCCCCCTTACAAATTATTTTTCTTTTTTTATAAAAAGAATTCCCACCTTTCTTTACTTTTATTTTTTAAATTCCAACTTTAATTACTTTTATCTTATTTAAAATCCCACATTTTATACCTTTTAAAAGAGAATTCCACTTATTTTACTTTTTCTTAAAAAAACAATCCACTTTCTTTTGCTTTTCTTTTAAAAATTCTACTTTCTTTTACTTTAATTTTTTTTAATTTTCAGCTGCCTTAATATTTATTTTTTAATTCCAACTTTCTTTTACTTTTTATCTTTTAAAATTTTCACAAAACTTTACTTTTATTTTTTTAATCTTTCACTTTCTTTTACTTTTTAAAAGAGAATTCCACCTACTTTTACTTTTATTTATTTTTATTTTTAATTCCATACTTCCCTTTTTCTTATTTTTTAAATCTCTCCCGAAAATTTAAAAAGAAATTAATATTTTTCGTTTTTTTTTATTTTAAAATAAAAATAAAATAATATTAATAGTAATAATTCTCCTTTTAAAATTTTGTATATTTACCCTATAATAAAAAGTGTAACAAATCTAAAAATTGTAGGTTAAAAACCCCTAAAATATTTACATAGAAGAAGTGACAAAAAATTAAATATTGTTAAAAACTAAACAAGCCTATCAGCTTCGGGAATGGTGTATCCTGATTGTCTAAATATTATCTCAACTAAGGATTAGTGTACCTTATGTTGGAAAACATGGCTAGAGAATGGTGTACCCATATTAACAAAGATACCAGGGAGTGGTGTACCTTGCATTTAAGCTCGACTCAACTAAGGAGTGGGGAACCCTATGTTGGAAAAAGAAAACAGTTAGGGATTGGTGTACCCTATACTAGTAAAGAGATTAGGGAGTGGTGGCCCTATGTCTAAAATAAAATCAACTAGGGAATGGAGACCCTATGCTGGAGAAAGAGATTAGGGAGTGGATACCCTGTGTCTAAAATAAACTCAATTAGGGAGTGGAGATCATATGTTGGAAAATACAGCTAGGGATTGGTGTACCATATACTGGTAAGGAAATGTAACTAGGTGTTGGTACACTATATGACGGAAAAGGAATGTAACCAGGGCTTGGCACCCTGTATTACGAAAAAAATATTGAATCCCTCTAGGTGAAAAAGTTCTACATGCGATAAACTACGAAAAGAAAGCTTGAGCGAAAAGTACTTCTACCCAAAAATAGGAGCTGAATACCCCTAGGCGAAACGATTCTACCTGGATTAAGCTATCAAAACTAAGCCTAGGCGAAGAATTCTTTTACGCGAAAATATGATCTGGATTCCCCTAGGCGAAAAGATTCTACCTGAGTTAAGTTGCATAAAAACAATCTCAGAGAAGAGTACTTCTACTCGTAACTATGAGCTTCATTCCCCTAGGCGAAATGGTTCTACCTAGGTTAAGCAGCATAAAAAACAATCTCAGAGAAGAGTACTTCTACTCGGAACTATGAGCTTGATCCCCCTAGGCGAAATGGTTCTACCTGGGTTAAGCTGCGTAAAAACAACCTGAGTGAAGAGTACTTATACCCGAAACTATGTGCTGGATCCCCCTAGGCGAAATAGTTCTACATGAGTTAAGCTATGAAAACTAAGCCTGGGCGAAGAAGACTTCTACCCGAAAAATGATATGGATCCCCTAGGCGAAAAGTTCTACCTGAGTTAAGCTATTAAAACTAAGCCTGTGCGAAGAAGACTTCTACCCGGAAATATGATCTGGATCCCCTTAGGCGAAAAGGTTCTACCTAGGTTAAGCTATGAAACTAAGCCTGGGCGAAGAATACTTCTACTTGAAAATAAGAGCTGGATCCCCCTAGGCGAAAATGTTCTACCTGGGTTAAGCTATGAAAACTAAACCTGGGCGAAAAGTACTTCTACCTGGAAATATGAGCTGGATCCCCCTAGGCGAAAAAGGTTATACCTGGGTTAAGATATGAAACTAAGCCTGGGTAAAAAGTACTTCTACCCGAAAATAAGAGCTGGATCCCCCTAGGCGAAAAGGTTCTACCTAGGTTAAGCTATGAAACTAAGCCTGGGCGAAGAATACTTCTACTTGAAAATAAGAGCTGGATCCCCCTAGGCGAAAAGGTTCTACCTGGGTTAAGCTATGAAAACTAAGCCTGGGAAAATAATACTTCTACTCGGAAAGTATGAGTTGGATCCCCCTAGGCGAAAAAGGTTCTACATGGGTTAAGCTACATAAAAACAACCTGAGCGAAGAGTACTTCTATCCAGAATTATGAGCTGGATCCCCCTAGGCGAAAAGGTTCGACCAGGGTTAAGCTATGAAAACTAAGCCTGAGCGAAGAGTACTTCTACCCGGAAATAGGAGCTGGATCCCACTAGGCGAAAAGGTTCTACTTGGGTTAAGCTACAAAAACTAAGCCTGGGTGAAGAGTACTTCTACCCAAAAATAGGAGCTGGATCCCCCTAGGCGAAAAGGTTCTACCTGGGTTAAGCTACGAAAACTAAACCTGGGCAAAAAGTAATTCTACCCGGAAATATGAGGTGGATCCCCCTAGGCGAAGAGGTTCCACCTGGGTTAAGCTACAAAAACTAAACCTGAGCAAAGAGTACTTCTACCCGAAAATAGGAGCTGGATCCTCTAGGCGAAAAGGTTCTACCTGAGTTAAGCTACAAAAACTAAGCCTAGGTGAAGAGTACTTCTACCCAAAAATCTGAGATGGATTCCCCTAGGCAAAAAGGTTCTACATGGGTTAAGCTACGTAAAAATAGGAGGTGTGAACAATAGTGATGTATGTCGAAAGTAAAAGAAAAATGGAGATTTTAAGGAGCTTACGTTTGGTGACATTCGTTCTTTTAGAATCACCATTCTGCATGCTTTGTTCCTGTCACACCTCCTTTTTTTACCTACACCCGCGAGGGCGTAAAGGAGTTTTTCCAATTAAAGGACAATCGGAACGGGATTTAATTATTAATTATTCAGAGTCGCCACTTGGGATATTAATGGTGTCCCAAGTCACCGGTTGAATCCCGAACCGAGGAAATTTATGACTCTGTTAACAGTCCGCGAATCAGAAATCCGAGTAAGGAATCCTGTTAATCCGGGAGAAGGTGTTAGGCATTCCCGGGCTCCGTGTTCTAGCACGGTCGCTTAACTGTAGTATTTGATTTTATCTGATTTTAATACCTGCTAGCTTATGTGCCTTTTATTCGTAAACCGCTTTTTATCATTATTTATTTTAAAGAATTACGATGTCGTGAAAACGCGTTTCGAACCCCGTCGCAATCAATGCGCCCGTGATTGTCAACACATTTCGACTTCATCGAGATTTGGATTTGGGTCGCATCAATGCGCACCCGAGTTTAGGAAGGTAATTTTATTAAGAGCGCGTTTAAAGCAACTACGCGTTTGCACTTTGCGAGGGCCATGGAATTTCAACTAAATGACACACCTCGATTTCTAAAGGATTAAAATTAATTAAGTGAGGGCCATGCAATTGTCCTTTTGTTCGACATGGCACAC